GGGGGGGGGGGGGTAATTCATGGGAATAACAGGAACAAGTTTTCTTAATTCAAGATTATCAGGCTCGGCTCACCCTAAAGGGAAAAAGTTGACCTTTCTGAGGGAAAAAAACTATCCCATTCTATTGAAATGAGTTATAGTTATGAGCTATTTACATTTCAAAAAAAGTGAAGCCCGATACAGTGTCCGAAAATTCATTGTTCATATAGTAAGGGTAGCCCGGGAGGATCATTTAGAGACAAAAACATTAATGAAATTTTTGTCTCCGACGCTTTGTTCATGAGTTATCAATAAAAGAACGGACAGCCAATCAAACGCTTTCCACTGATGGAGAAATCATATCCCTTTTCCCATTCAAAACGGAAGGATAATGGCATTGAATATCCAATCGCTTCCAATCAATTTCATTCCTGGGTATTAAATGAGAGTGGAGACATGAATTTTTTACGTTGACTATGATTTTCAGGTTGCGTATAGGGATGAAATGGCTCTTACGCCGCAGTGGAATTAATTGCGGTTTAACTCATCCGGTCGTGGTGATAGGAAAACAATTTTTTTTCAGATCATTGGGAATTAAATGCAGAATTAATTGCCATCATTTTCATTGGTGATATGAATTTTCAGACAGAGGGGCAATTGCGGTGGATTTTTGCTTTGCTGCCGAATAACTCCTTAAGGATATCCAAGTATCTGTTTCAACCGTTTTAAATCATCAAATTTGTCAATTAAATTGCATGAAAAAAATCTGAAAAAATCGTGAATATTCAGCGTTATTCAAATTAAATTTTGCACTGAATTATTATTTTTTAACCTAGGAAAAAAGTAAACATTCCAATTTTTTTCAGATTTTTAGAATGTTTTCTAACGGTTCAATATTGAGTTTCAAATTCAGGCCTACAAAGTTTAAATAATAAAATAATTATAAAATGTCCGGAAACTTAGAGTCAAATGGGGTTCAAATGAAAGCTCTGATGTTAGACTACAAAATTAGAAAAGCAGTTCACGATTACATGTCAAAATGCCACACATAAATGTTAACACAAACGAATTCAACACAAAAAAATCAATACACACGTCCAACACAATTATCAACTCAGTCTTCGAAATTAATAAATATTTACTTTTGGCTTGAGAATTCATTTAATGAAAAATCAAAAAAATATGAACAACAATACAGTGAATTGCATCAATAAATGAGAACATATAAATCGATAAATCGGCTAATTCAATAAATCGATATGAAATTACAATTAAACTAATCACAACAAAATAATATTACACTACAACATTTCATAGTTCCTTTGAAATCTACTCCTAATACTCATAATCACAAAAAATATTATTTGTATTAAATAAATTACTTCAAATACACACACACACACACGTGTTAAATTTGTATATGTTAAATTTAGTAACGAAGCGGTGAACCGGGTTAAGTCGGTTTTGACCATTGACCAGTTTTTGACGAATATCTCGGAATCTAAAAGAGATAGAAACATTTTTATCATAGGCTTTTTTGTAGAGCCAATTAAGGGTTATAAAAAGTTCATGATAAAAATGTCGCTATCTCTCTCAGACTCCGAGATATTCATCAAAAGTTGGCCAAAAGTCAAAATCGACTTTACCCGGTTTACCGCTTCGCTACTGAATTTAACATATACAAATTTAACGCGTGTTTGTGTGTTTAATCTGTGTGTTGAAATTTACGTGTGTTATTTTGACCGGTATCCCATTTCACTGTAGAAAAAATAGCTAAAGTGCTCGGATATCCTTAACAATGCGACGGAGTCCAAAAATTTATTAAACTTTACGATGAGTCTTGGGACACCCTGTATATCTCAAAGAATCCTGGTTCACTCAGTGGAGCAATAGCGTATTTTAGAACTGAGGACAATTAATATTGATTTTACTCATTAAGGGGATCGTCATACCTTATTGACAGCTGTCACACTTGCGCCGGCATCGATGAGCATCCTGACGGCCTCTAGATGTCCGTACCAAGCGGCCATGTGAAGCGGCCTCATCCCGAACTGGTGGAAATCCACGTAAAGTTGATTATTCAGTGCAAATAGGTGAGAGGATTGGAGTGAATTAATGCTTGGGAGAGCACAATATTCTGGCTCTTTCAGAGCTTTAAGAATTCACACGCAGAAATACATGTTTTGGTTTTTAGGGATAGAAGGTAATCTGCAGTTTGAGGAGGTGATCCATAGCTTTTAGGAATTCATCTCTAATAGTGAGGGATTTCCAACACCAACTAAAATTGTCCTAAAAGTTAGAGCGCCGCACTGCACTTTTTCCGATTTTTTGCTTCCGAGTGGAAGCATTGTAATCGTGCTGTTTTCAAATTCTCTAATTTGATTACTTGATATCCCTCTTGATTTTTTCAGATTTTTCCTAGACCTTCCAAATTTATCAATATGTCGATTTAGGCTGGTGCGCCGCGATCAACCGAATGTTAAAGACAAAATTCCTACGATTTAGAATCTGTTCTCTGATTTTCAGTATTGTGACTTTGGAAATTGATGACAAAATCACTTGATTTTAGAATAACTCACGCCCTAAATTTTTGAAATACCGGAATTCTCCAAAAATTACAGATGAATTCATAAATTTTTTTTTTTTTATGCTTTTCATCTAACGTAGAATAACTCAGTTTTACGGTTTACTCTCATGAAAAAATGATGGACCATCCCCATCTCTTCTCCTTTAGCATTTATCCATCGATTCGGCGATTCTCTTTCCGAGAATTTCATTGATTTAACTCTGCTTCCGCTGACCTAATGCAAGGGGTTGTTAATATTTTTTCAAATAAATCAATACGAATATAAATTTGTTTATTCACCGGAGTCCAACTGAACTAAAGTGTATTCCAGAAAATTTTATTTGAAATTGAGGAAACAATGGCAAATATTAAACTTAAATCCATTTCAATATGAAAATATTAAAAATTGTTATGCAACACAACTGTTACTTGAATTTCAGGAAAATATTAACATTGTAGAATGTATTTATAATACTCAGTTGTATTATATCCCACCTTCATGCAAAAAAAAATCCAAGTGAAGTGGACTGGAACCGAATTCCCACAAACTGGTTCACTTTAAAATAAAAATTCAGAACATCTCACCTTATCCCGCGCCTCGATGTCGCATTCCGCTCGAATAAGCATTTCAATGATCTCCGTATTACCCCTGGAGGCCGCCCAATGAATCGGTGCTCTCCCATACTAGATTCCGCACCGAAAAAATGAAGAAGCACTCATTTGGGATATTTTCATGCTAAAATCCTGCTGATACGTGCCGATGGGTAAATTATCAAAACCCGTGATACTAGAATATGCAAATGGGACTTCCGATGCATCCGTGACCTATTTACTTTTCGTACGTCCTGAGATGCATCCACAAAAGAATTTTGTTGTACCGATTTTTATGACTCCCGAGAGAAATACATTGAAATTGTGTTGGGGCGAGATGGAAACGAGTGCTGGGGAAATATAGTTTTATTTGAAATTCAACTCACGTTGTTACGGGAATCGACGGCCACAGTTTCTTGGAGAACTTTTCTCACAGTCTCTGGCTCATTTTTGATGACAGCCTCGTGCAACAATAGATCGTTCTTCAATACTGAAAAATTGGCAATTGCACTGATGGAATATTTCACTTTAAATATCATGGGTTGTTGAATATTTCAAATTGTTTTTTTTATCCTGAATGGAATCATTGATGAATTTTGATAGACTGTTGATTGTTGTCGACAATACGTGTAGAATTTTTATCAAGTGACCGTTCCATCGAAATTTTAAAGTATTTCGCCATTGAACATTCACAATTTGATGGAAAAATCAATGGAAACTGTAGAATTTAGTTCAATTATTCTAGCAAAAAATGAGAGAAATCGGAAAAATTGCGGTACATATATTCTTGTGTTTGAAATTAATTGCGAATTCAACGTACATTTATAAAACTATTTATTTGATATAAATGAAAATGCAACTGCAAATTTAATTTAGGGTTTAATGGGGTTTATTAGCAGCTCTCTGAGTAAATCCATTATTTCATTCAGAAACATAATTTCTTTCTTCGATGGTTCTTACGGTAAGAAAATTGTCGTTCTTGAATTAATGATATTTCTTTGTCTAACATTGATCTACTCCTGTTTCACTCCTTGATGATATTTAATTATTTAGAATAATTCCATTATGTGTTATAGGGAATTTTACGTAACATAGTAGAGCTTACTATGTAAAATAGTAATTATTGCGATGTCCATAGTACCTATGACCATGGTAGCCACTACCATGTCCATAGTAATACTTACAAAACTTTAGTAACGTTTAACTATGTGCGGATTCCGACATAGTAATCTTTACTATTTTATTTTCTCCGTGCGGATATTTCCCGAAAGCGGACGTGTCAATTAATGATACGAACAAATAGAAGAAACGAATTAAGAAATACTATTTTTAAAAAAGGAGAACCCATTCGGAAGTGAATTGCTAATTTATTTGCAACAATAACTATAGTCATTTATGAAAAATGCAATTATCCACTTGTTTTAGTAAATGACAACTGGAAATGAAGATATTGTGCCCTGTATTTTTTACTCACTCCTAGCAGTCCTGGGGTTCAATGTGTCGTCATCTTGACTCTCGGGATGAAGATTGAGGGGTGGTGGGATTTTCACTTTCGTCGCGCTCGACCTCGTGAGATCGGACATTTTTCCCTGTCTCTACGTGACATCCACTCGATTATTTTATCCCCGAGAAATCTGCAAGAGAGAATGAGTGAGAATTGGGAAAAAGTTTTCAACTTTTATCGGAACACCACACTAATAGACTGATTAATTTATTCCAAACAAGATTCGTGAACTATTAACGAATGGTACAGTTGAATATGACCAAATGAATATTCGTTAATAGTTAACGAATGGTTCACTTGAATGGCGAAAGTCAAGTCAAACACGGCTCCTCAAATGTACATTCGTTAACTATTAACGAATGAACATTTGGTGGGATCGAATAGACCCTAACCTCTAACCAAAATCGATTCGTTAACAATAACTAATTCGTTCTATCAGTGCAGCTATTCAGTTTTCTAATTCTATGGAAATTGAAAGCTCCAGTTCTCTCGAGATTCAGTTGAAGCTCAATAAATAAATAAAGATGAACGATTTCATATGAATCTCTCAATCTTCACTGAAAAATCGTCACAGTTCGATAGTTTCGGTACATGTAAATAAAAAAAAACACATACATATTCCAATTTAAACAATTGAAATGCGTCAATTCGGCGGAAAAACTCTCTAATTAAAAACAATTCCCACTATTTATGAAACAAGTAACAAAATCACTCAATCATTATTTCATAAATATTTTCCTAATGAATTTTTTGAGAATTATCATTACAAAATGTAATAAATCAATACAAACACATCAGGAAATTCGATAGTTTCGTTAAATGAAAATGAAAAAATGAACGCACACGCAAGGCTACCCACACGGAGAAAAAAGTGAGAGAAAAATTACCGAACCAATCGCAAAATATCCTCCACAAACAGGTATTTTTCATTGAATTACATTCTGCTTCACGATTACCGTTCGCGCAGTAAAATTTGTCACGATTTTTCAAGTAATTCTTATTCAACTATGTCCTCTTCGTGCGCACATACTCCAATTCGAACGATTAAACGATTAAGTGCCCCAATTCGGTTGTAAAAATGTTTTTCACTAATAGAAAGGATTAGTTATTGTTAACAAATGGATTTGGTTGGAGGCTAGGGTCTATTCGGTCTCGCCAAATGTTCATTCGTTAGTAGTTAACAAATTTATGTTTCAGAAGCCTTGTTTAACTCGACTTTCACTCTGATAGAACGGATTAGTTATTGTTAACGAAGGGATTTTTGTTGGAGGTTAGAATCTATTCGGTTCCACCAAATGTTCATTCGTTAATAGTTAATTGTTTGACTTGACTTTCGCCATTCAAGTGAACCATTCGTTAACTATTAACGAATATTCATTTGGTCATATTCAACTCTACCATTCGTTAATAGTTAACGAATCTCGTTTGGAATAAATGAATCACTCTATCAGTGCACCTTTCAAGTGAACCATTTGTTAAATATTAACGAATATTGATTTGGTCACATTCAACCCTACCATTCGATAAGCCCTCACGTACGGCGTCGATACCAAGTATCGGTCCATAAGCTTGTCCTATCGGCCGGAGTCAATGCATTGTATCGACCCTTTCCGTCAACAGTAAAAATCATTTTCTCTCATTCTAAGAGACACATTGACATTTGGAAAAAGATATTTCAAAAGTCAATGGAATTGTCTCTGCAGTGAACTATTTTCTTGTTTTTTCAATGCATTTATAATATTTTTTTCTAGGAACAAAAGTTGTAGATGAAAATTTTACATCAAACCGATTCAATCGTATTAAATTATCTCGTTTATCGATAAGATTAGAAGAAAAATTGGAAGGTAAATTTCGATTTGTTGAATTATTTGTTTGTTATAAATAAATTTAACATGTTCGAAGATGGCGGCAACCAATTGTCGGCTAATATTAAAATTGCTGTCAAAAATTAGGAAATTATGGAAAGAAAAAACATTTCTTAGGGAGTTTATTTCAAAATTCAATGCAGCCAATGCATTTTATTTCAATTTTTTTCGTTCAACTGTTTTCAAGTTATCGCTCATTGCATAACGGAGTATTGACGCGCTGTAAGTCTCCTGGCCGTTGGGACAAGCCGCGTTATATGAACACCGTACGTGAAGGGTTAATAGTTAACGAATCTGATTTGGAATAAGTGAATCATTCTATCAGTGTTCAATTAATAAAAATGGCCTGAAGTGGTAGAGCAATATTCTTCACCCGTGAAATTCCCTGTCGCTATGAAATTCCTCCCCGAACTCATTTTATGAAGTTTAAACCACTGATTCTATCACCGGAAAGGACTGCAGAGAGTGAAGGTAGAATAACCAGAGGGTTTCTCGAAAATTTAGTCAATGCAATTACACTTTTTCCCTCTATTCTCTGACATATCTGCGCACGAACAATTGAATTACGAATGAAATTACCGACTCCCGAATAACAAAACCGAGAACCGGTGTTCGCGAAGTAGAAAGGGCCGAGAGTAGTCAGACAATGTCTGTGCGTTGAAGTCGATAAAATCGAAGGCAAAAGGAGAGCGAAGAAGAGGTCTTTTGTGAGATCGAGAATTGCACGAATGTGTAATTAATAACCCGAAGTTGAAATTTATGTCCTGCGAGGGAATAACTGGAGCGCGTATTGTCGGGGGAGTTACGAGGGGCTCAGTGCAGGTGCACCCGATCGTCCTCCTATCGGTGATAAATTGCAGGGTTGTCGGAATTTTCGGTGGAACATTGGGGCGCTCATTATAGGGGGATTTTTTCGGGTTAAAAATAGAGTTAAACGTTAACATTAGCCCCTCGGGTTCAGTCTATTATTGTTCGTGCACGGTTGAAACGGTTTAATGTGATCTTGGTATCATCGAGGAATGAAAAATCCGGTCGTGTGGCAGAATTTTACGGATTTACAGATTGTCAGTACACTGTTAGAAAATTACTCTTGAAATTTCAAGTGAAAAAGCTTGAAATTTTTAACAACGACAAAGTTAGAGGAAATTTCTCTATATTTCTTCATTGATGAATCAATTTTTTTCTTGAACATTCAAGTAATTCTCGATTTTCGGGTCCATACGGCACTGAAAAATCTTGAAAATTTTGAAAATTCAAGCAACAACTTTTCTGAATTCTAAATTTATTGAAAATTGAATTGTATGTGATGTTCAACTTTCACGATGTTTTTGGAAATTCAAGCTTTCATTGAAAAATCAATGATTGTTTTATATGAAAAACCATTTCTCATTTTCTTGAATTTTCAAGATAAATGAGAAATTTAGTGAACGCTTTCATGTGAAATTGAGTTCAACCCCACAACGTCGAAAATTTAGATGATGCTGTGACTGCAATTTTAAGAAATTTCTAACAGGGTAGTCTCCGTCATTAATGGATTTGGCATATTGGTCGCACTGAGAGAAAAATTTCCTAATATGTAGACCAAAATTACTTGAGAGAAGTAAATTAGCTTCTTTATGTACAGAATTATTATTTTTTAAACGTCCTTTTATTTATCAATAAATAATAGAAATTACTTAACTTTCGAAAACCTAATTTTTTTCGGCACGAAATCGTTTTCTGGTGAAATTCTGAACGTTAATAAATTTGTTACGATTATGAACAAATGATTGTTATGGTACAAAATTAATGGTTTATAAATTATTCACAGAAAATTCTCGTAATTTTCAAAAATCGCAACGTTTGAATAATTTTATCAGGTTTCTTTGGAAAGTAAACTTTCTAATTTTTCTTCAGATTTTTAAAATATTTTCTAACAGTTCAATATCGCGATTCAAATTTAGGTCTCCAAAGTTTAAATAATAAAATCATTCTAAAATGTCCGGCAACTTAGGGTCAAATGGAGCTCAAATGAAAGCTCTGACGTTGGACTACAAAAGTAAAAAGCATTTCACTGGAGAAAAAATAGCCAAAGTATTCGGATATTCTTAAACCTCAAGAATATTTTAAAGCATGAGACCTTTGTGGGGCTGCCTGGGAGAATTAAGCGATTGAAGAAAAATTACTCGTCTCAAGTAAACATTTAAATAAATAAATGAAAATGTATTAAAAATTAAAATGTATTAAATCTATTAAAATTGAAATGTATTGTTATCTTGTAAATGTATTAAATATTTCTGACCATCGAATTCTGTCCAATCAGAGCGCAATATTCGGTGCTGTGAAGTATAAGTAACTCAGAATGGAGAAAATAATCACAGTACCACAAGAGCTCCAAAATAAGCGAGTATTCCCGACAGGTTCGTTGCAAACCCACAAAAGAGTCAATTTTCCCAGTATGAAAAATGAGGACGTGAAGTCTAAAAATATAAATCAGTAGCGAAGTGGTAAAACGGTTCAAGTCAATTTTGGCTATTGGCCAGTTTTCAATAAATACCTCGAAATCTACGGGAGATGACAAAATTTTCCTTATAACCCTTTTTGTAGCTGATTGAGAGCCACACTAAACGTACACGTACGAAAAAATCCTATAGGATTTCCTATAGGATTTCTGATAGGAAATCCTAGAAGATTTTCTATAGGATTTTCTACCAGAAGTCCTATAGAAAATCTTATACGTAATCAGGGGAAAAATAATCATAATTTTGCATAATCTTTTCTGTAATTACACGTTCGAAAAAATCCTATAGGAAATCCTATAACAAATCCTATAGGATTTTTATCAAGATAAAAATCCTATAGGAAATCCTATAACAAATCCTATAGGATTTTTTCGTACGTGTAATTACGAAAATTTCGCTATCTCTCTTAGATTCGGAAATATCCGTCAAAAACTCAACTGGGAGATAAGTCGACTTGAACCGTGTTTTACCACTTCGCTACTGAAATGAACAAAATGAAAATAAAAATGACAATTTTGTATTGTCCCTGAAATTTCATTCCTTTCGCAACAATGAATGCGCAAATAATTGGTTTCGTTTTTGCCTCCTCGCCTTTTCCAAAATAGCGATATTATTTCAATACCCTCCGTCACCCCCCGGACCCCCCGTATTGTTACCCCCACATACACAAGACGGCATTTGCGTCAATAACCGAACCAGGATGCTCAGTATTATCGTTATCGACCCAATTACTCAGCCTCGGCATCACCCGCCGTAACATCATC